AAAAAAAAAAAACACCTACAAAGCACCTGTAGTGGCCCCCAGTACCCAGTACGGTGAGGACAGCCCTGTGGCCACTGCACTGCCCACCAGGTCAGGTGAAGAAAGCTGCTCCTCATCTACAAAGCGGGGGCTGGCCTTTCCTCACCTCACAGGTGAAACCCTGTGACCTGGGCCCCACTGGCTGAACTGTGGCTGGCCCTATCCTGCACAAGGGAGCCAGGCAGGCCTGAGAAGGGAGCAGGCTCCTGCCCCAGAGGACTCGGCACCCACCACCCTTTCTCTGACCCCCACACCGCCTATCCTAGGGTATGATACCTGCAATGTAGACCCAGCCCCTGGCCACCGCTCTCAGCTCTGGTTGGGCCTGGATGCTGGGCCCCTCTCTGAGATCTCCGTGCTGCTCATCAGCCATGCAGTAGGGCTCCCGGGACCCACATCCATGCAACAGAGCCCCTGAGGCCTGAGCTGCACCCAAAGCCCTGTCCTTCACACAGCCCCCACCCAGCCCTGATCTCAAACAGCAGGTTCCACATCCCAACTCCCACGAGGGTGGTCCAGGCCTGTGGCCAGCAAGTGCTGCTCTCTGAGGCCTCCTCCCAGCCCACGAGCTGCGGGTCATGGCGGTCACTGCCTTCCGGTAGGGTGGGGAGCCGCGGCCTCTTCACAGAACAGCAGCTGGAAGCCCATCTCCCCAGGGACATATCCACCACGTGGGAACTGCAGCTGCAGGTCCAGCCTGCCCTTCACATGCCTTCACTGCCCTCGCTCACCTCACTGCCCGCCCTCAGCCTCCCATACAGACATGCTCTCTTGGCACTGTCTCCGGGGTACGAGCCCCCCACCCCTGCCGCACACACATCTTTCTACTAAAGGGCCTGGATATGGGCTGCTGGGTATTCAGCCCTGGGGCTTCCCCAAAACCCGGAGAAGCATCCCTCACCAGTCCCTGCTCCCCCCAAGACCAGGTCCTCAGCCCCCTTCTACAGCAGCCGGCAGCTGTGCCTAGTGACCCTCAGAAGGCCAGGCCAAGTATGCCACGAGGGGTCACTCTGGAGGGTCACCCCTTCCCCTGCAGGGAAGGCCAGGGGTGAGGGTCTCTCCTGGCATGTGGGGTAGCTGCAGCTGAAACGCAGGGTTCTGGGAGGGACTAGAAATGAAGACACTGAGGTTGGAGTGCAGGATTTGACTGCTGTGTGGGCAGGCGGCTCTGAGCACAGCGAGGCTCAGGTTTCAGGATGGCTGTGGGTGCCATGGGGAACTAGAGGCTCCTGTGGTGATGGGTCGGGGGTGATGGCCTGCTCAGAGCTGGGGCCCTGGCACAGGAGAAGCCAGAGTTGTGCTGGGCCTGGCAAGACCAACATGGAGGACTCAGGCCCCTCCCCCATGTTCTGAGGGAGAAACAACGGAAACCCCACGTCTCTGTGAAACCCCATCCGCAGACCCGGGCCCAGCCGTGCTCGGTGGAGCAGGAGCACCTCCTTGGGCCGCGGGGTCCCAGGCGCCTTCCGACATGGTACAGGGCTCCAGATCGGGCTTCTGGTGGGTCTGGATTTCAGCGGGAACACACTTGTGAGAGGCCGTGAGTGACAGGCTGGTGAGAGGCTCGGAAGCGGCCTCCCACCAGCAGCTCCGGGTGGCCTCGTCCCAGCCCCGCCAGCAGCAAGGCTCCTTCCTTGCTGGCGCAGCGTGGCGCCCGCTGGCTTCCCGCAGTCCCTCCAGGGGACGGTGCAGCCACACGGAGACCTGTCTCTGTGGGAACCCTCACGCTAGCTGGCTGCCCACTTCCTGCTTGGACAGAACACAGCAGATGCTGCCCACTGGGAAGACCTGCTGGCACGGGGCTCCCGGGGAGCACCCTCCTGGCTCTGCCCAGTCTCCCAGCCTCTCCTACCAGGAGCACCAGTCCGCAAGGGGTGAGGCCAGATGTCATGCCGGGAGCCCCCCTCCATGTCCAGGCGGCAGAGGTCCCTGGGGCCCCAGAGGTCTCTGCCCCAGCCCAGCTCCACTTGGAGGCCCCTTGTGGGGGCCAGAGCCTGCCAGCCCCCAGCATCTCCTGCCCCATGCTTCCCTTTAAATCTGTCCTGAGTCCTCTAAAAGCCAGCACCCCTCACACTCCTAACACGCGTGTGAGGCCAAGCCCAAACCCTCAAGCTGGAAGCTATGCTCCCTGAGATGTGTCCCCTCTTTTACAGGGTCAGCCTGCACCTGCAGTTTTCCTGGATGACTGTTGCAAATATTAAAAAACCAGGAGTGCACATCACATCCATCAGCTTCTCCGGGAGAACCAGCAGCTTGGGACACATATGTGCCTCACCCCACCTGTCATTCAGCTGGAGGTGCCCCAATAATGTCAGTTTTCTCCTGACTTCAAGGTTGGGGGTCCTCCCTGGTGGCACAGTGGGTTGAAGCACAGCACTGAGAAGCTAAAGTCACTTCAGCATGAGTTCGATCCCCACCCCAGAGGTGACCCACATGGCATGGCAGACCTCTCCTGACCTGCCTGCTGCTCCCCTCAGCAGTGTGTTTCATCAGCCGGCCTGTTCTGCTCCCTACACTGTCTCGGGTGAATCCTCTCACCACCCCTGCAACTCTGGCCTGTACCCCAGTTCTGTATGCATAAATAAATAAATCTTTAAAAAAGTATATATTCTTGCTTCTCTTTAAAAAAAACTGAGAGATGTGTCAGCCTGAGCTTAGAAAGGGTGTGTGCCTCTGTCTGACCAGAAGACCCTTTCTGAGAGCCAGAAAGCAGAGAGGAGAGGTAGGAGGCTGGAGAGATTGCTGGGAGCAGAGTGGACGTTGGGTCCTCCTGCACCCTCACCTCAGCTCCCGCTGGAGACCCCTTCTGGCTGTGTGTCTGGCCACTGAAACGGCAAGGGGGCTTAAAAGTCTTGTTTGCAGAAGTCTTAACAGTCAGAATAAAAGTCATAGCAGACAGGAGTCGGAACTGCAGCCACTGAAGTGCGTCCCTACCTGTCACCACTTGTCTTCACTTCTGGTGTCCTGGCCTGGACCAGCCAGGCAAGACTGTCCGTGCCACAGAAGCTGGAGAGCAGCCCTTCAGCTAGACAGACCCGGCCTCAAAACTCAGACTTTATGCAAGATGATACTGTACAACCCTATCTCTAAATTATACAATCTCTTAAAGGTTTGTTTGTCCAATCCAGCACCCATAGTATTTACAAGGAAACACCAAACAACTTCATTCCAGAAGTCCCAGCCTACACCCCTGCTCAGCCTTAAGTAGCCAATGCCCCCAAATACCTCAAAACGAAAAAATATACAAACCTGGAGGGACACAGACAGCAGCCCCTCGGGGCACCACAAGCCCATCAGCAGCTTGGCCTTGGCCTGTCCCAGAACCTGTTTCCCACCACACCTCAGCACCCTTCCCCCTTCCCCACCCCACATCTCACTAGCACTTGGGACCCTCTCAAGTCTGCTCTGCGCCCTGAGGCCACGTCACAAACAACTCTCAGTCTCCCTGGGCCTCCCTCTGAACTTCCCATCTGGTGGGGGACACAGAGGATAACAGATGGACAGATGGAAGTGTCCATGCAGAGGACAAGCCCAGGTGACGCTGCCAACGGGCCGTTCATAGTCAGACGTGTGCCAGGTTCCGAGCAGCCCTCCGTGCAGAGCTGTGTGGCGGGCCATGGGGTGGGGGGATCCTCACTGACCATAGGGGGTACAAGCCAAAGCAGGGAGGGGCGGAGGGGAGCATGGGGAAGGCAGAGAGGGCTGCTCCCGGGAGAATACGCCCGCTGCCCTTAGGAGTCCACCACAACTGACCCGGGCAGAGCACGCATGGAGCCCGCCCTGCCCGGCACACAGAGCCGCAAGCCGCTTGTGACCAGGGTGTGTGCCCTGGGTTCAGGGGGTGTGGGTCTGAGGAGATGGCTCACAGCAACACAACAGAGCGAAACAAGCTGGTCCCTCCAGAACAAGTGGATGCAGTCTGTGGTGTGGCCACACCTGAGAAGGCCTGTGTTGACCACCGTGGGTGACTCCTGGAGTCCAGGACATCAGGAGCGGTGCTTCAGTGAGGAAGGGAAGCCCCAGTTGAGTCGAGTCCTCTGGAGCACCCAGGACAGGCCTGAGGTGGGCACGGACCCACCTAAACCAGCCCTCTGCTTCTCCCAGCCCCACTCCAAGTCTGGGTCAGAACTGGACATTGCCCCTGCTGCCTGATGGGTGATTAGCTCACCAGTCCGGCAGATGGGGACATGTGTGTCCCCAACAGTGGCCACAGCCTCCAGGAGGGCTCTTCCTGGGATAAGGGGAGGGGACTGTGCTCACTCCTGCTCTAGGTTGACTCAGTGCTCCCACGGGCCTCCGGATTGGCCGGGGTACCACTTCCCACAGACACCAGGCCTGCGCCTCTCTGGCCGGCCCGGGAACCATGCCGGGGCCTCAAGCCCTTGACCCCCACTGACTGGAATAAGATGCTGCGGCCTCTGCGCTAGGCTGCCCCCTGCCATGATGGGCGTGTCTCTGTGACAGCCCCTCCACCCCCCTCCCCCGCTCTTTGGTGAGAGCCTCCACATGAGACGGTTCCCATCATTTTAACTCAAAGAAGCACACCTCCAAAAAACGTCCTCAGAAATGTAAAATCAACCTTCAAAAGAAAAACCCCAAAACCCTGGAGAACGCCCGACTAAGACAAGCTTCAATTACCAGCTGCTTTTGGTATGATAAAAATCCCTCTCTGCCTGTCTTCAAGACGAGACTCTTTACTCAAAACTTTCTTTTTTTAAAAATAACTCCAGTAACCAACCATTAAAACAGGGATTGTATTTTAATCCACTCTTTCTTTTTCTTTGGTTTCCAAACTGGCACCTTCCCTCCTCCACAGAGGACAAGGAGGCAGAGTAGGGCCCCGGGCTTCTTCGCTGCGGGAGGGGGCCCTGGGCTCCCTGCCTGTGGGGGGCGGGGGTGGGCACTGCCACACAGCCCCAGGCCCAGTGCACAGGCTCCAGCAGCCCCCACCCCAACCCCAGGGCCTCTCCTGGTCTCCTGTCAGTGCCAGGGTGGGGGCGCTCTCACTGGCAAACTCTGGGCACTGGCCTGACACTGGGGGGGCTGACGCGAGTGAAGATGGACAGGCCCACCTCACACAGCGTGGTGCCTGAGACAACAGGCCGGAGGCCGGTGCAGCCCTCACACAAGGCCTGCACATGGCTGACAGCAGAGGACGTGTGTCCTCACCCTGACCAGATGAAGGCGGAGACCAGAGGAGCAGGACAGTCGGCGTTGTCAGAGCCAGAAGCGAGGGCCTGGCCCTGCAGCACCAGCACACGCTCCCCAGGACGGAGCTGGCGCCGTGCCCTTTGGGTCTGGAGACAGAGGCTGGCACCGCCAACTCCGCCCGGCCTGCGCACTGCAGCTCCTCAGCCAGGGTCTGCCCATGTCCGCACATCACTAACACAGGCCGCTCCCAGACGCCCACCACCATCCGGGATGGCCCACAGGTGGGCCTGACGCTGTGCCCACCCAGCCGCGGACAAGTACGTTTCCCAAGGCGAAGTCACCACAGACACTCGCACTCACCAGCCTGTGCCTGAGGTGGACGGTGACGAGGGGTGAGCCTGACAGGTTCTGGGAAAGCATGGGTGGCGGAGACACCTCCAGGGAGATCAGGGGGCTGGCAGCAGACAGCAGGCAGTCCGGGTACCTCGCGGCTTCCGCGATCCTCGGAAAGAACCGAAACTGTCACAGAACAGAAGCGGGCGGGCGGCACAGCCAGGCAGCGGAAGCGGCTGGCCCCCCAACGCCCACCCCTCTGGCCATGCCAGGGCAGGACGGCAGAGCCCTGATCAGCTTCCGATGGAGAAGCCTGAGGGTCACTCTGAGATGTCGGTCTCCCCTGGCCCTCTCCCGAGCCCCGACTCTGGGCAAGGTGCCATGTGTGGCTAGGTGTGCTTCCCACCCCCTGTAGAGCCCCTTCCTGAGGGCATCAGAAGGGTTTTGCCTCCTATACGCTGACTACAGGACACGTCCCTTCGGCTCGCACTTTGGTGCTTTCTGCCCCAGCCCTGTCCCTCCCTGAGACTCCCCAAAAGGGAAGGGTATATCCCTCCTCTGATCCCCCCAGGGGGAACCAGCCCTTTTCCATGGCCCAAGTGAGCTGTCCCAACCGCAAATTGGGGGAGTCATATGAGCAGTCACATGGCCCACACGGAGGCAGGGTCCTCTGCTCACCATGGTTGGGATCAGGGACTCAAACGGGCCCACTGCTGCCCCCTGCACATCATTGGGAGCTTTCAGGAAACAGACTCCTCCCTGGACCCCAGCCAGGTGGCCAGAAGCTGTCAGAGTCTACCTTACTCTGGAGGCCTGCCAAGAAATGAGGCAGAGGCAGAGGCAGAGACAGGGGCCAGAACTATGGGGTGCCCTCCGACTCCTGGATCTAGCTCTGCCTGAGCCGACCTCTCCTGCCCTTCTCAGCCCTGAGTACCCTAGTCTGCTAAAGCCAACGTGGTCAACAGAGTCGGAGGCGGGTGGGCGCTGTCTTCCCATCCTACCGCATGGACGCTGAGGCTTGGCGTGAGCTCCCCAGTCTGTGTCTCAGCACATTAGTTACAGGTGGGCTGACATGGGCCCCTGGCTGCCCACTGTTGGGTAACACAGGCTGACAGAGCCCCCAGGACAGGAGGCCCTTTGTATCCTTCAAAGGGCAGGGGACGGGTGTGGGTGCCTGAGCCTCTAGCCCCATGGTGTACACAGCTGTGTGGCAGGGAGGCAGGCAGGGTCCTCACCAGCTGTGCCCCTGCCTGTGCCTGGCTCCAGGAGACTCACTTGGTGCTGGCTGGTTGGATGTTGCTCAGGTAATGGTGCAGTGTGTGGTAGAGGAGGCCCACGATGGTCGTCCAGGCTGGGGAGAGAGTAGAGGGCTCCCTGTCTACCTTCCAGGTGACCGCGCTGGTTGAAGCTCGCCCTCGGCTGCTGTGCTGGGTTCAGGGCCACAGCCACAGCCACGGCCACTTTCACTCCACTAATGTGGAGTCAGCCCTGTGCCACGAGGATGCCAGGGCCACTCCATCGGCACTGGGGCCATCCCATGGGCACCGGGGCAGGGCGCCCCACATGGCCCAGGCACTGCGCTCACCTTGGCTGTGGTGGAAGGCCTGGTGGGGAATCTCGATGTAGCTCTGCCCATGGGCTGGAAAGCGGTAGTGGGAGGAATTCAAGGTCTCGGGCCGGAGTTGGGTCACAGAGAAGTCTGCGAGTAAACCATGAGGAAGGCAAGTTAGGGGTCTGCTCAGAGGCATGGCCACCTAGACACCTGCCTGTCTCTGACAGCGCAGAAGTGTTGGTGGCCAACTCAGTCGGGCTGCCCCTAACCGCAAGCACGGAGGATACCACAAGCTACGGGTGGCTGCCCAGACCTGGGGACCCCTGGCCCCAGAGAGCTGAAAATATGTTCCCCATGGCCGGCGACCGGGAGGCAGCTATCCTGCAGAAAAACTGTCACTGACTGGGGGCCAGGAGCTGCCACTCTGGACATCGTGTCCAGATAGGGGCTGCACAGGACCCACCAGACCAGCCCCTGCCAGCTGGGTCCAAGGCCTGGGCTTGCCCCTGAGGCTCCACAGCTCTCTGGGGGCTGCTGTGTTCTGGGGTCAGTTGACCACAGGCACTGGCCCGGCTGCCAGGGTCCTGGGGGCATGGCACCCTCAGCCCGGTGTTGCCAGACTGAGGTGACCATATGAGCAGCATTTGGGGGGAGCAGAGGTCTCTGAGTTCTGTGGATATGAATCAAGTGCCCTAAGAAGCACAGACCTGCCCCAGCCCAGCTACCTGCCATGGAGGAGGACCCCGCAATGGTGACCGGGGCCTCGCTGGGGTGCAGGTTGGATGAGATGTGACCCATGACAGTGTCCACGGTGTCGATCAAGCCCAGCACCACAGAGTTGTCCTGAGAACAGCAAGACATGGGGGAGTGTGATCACAGACAGATGGATGGACAGTAGCCAGATGCACAAAAGTCTTCTCATATCAGCTTGCCAGAAGGCACCACGGGCCAGCATTACCCACAGGATACCACAAGAAGGCTCGGGAGTCACACCACCCACTTCCGGACATGAGCTGATCACTAAGCTCCTAGCCCCACTGGGCATAGCACCCTCTGAGGCTGAGCTGTTCCCGGCATGGCTCTGAGGCCTAGAGCTGAGTGATGGGCTCAGAGGGGCTCAGAGACTCAGTCCTGGCTCCATCTGACCCCGAACAGAGGCCCTTCCCAGCCCCCGCCTGCCCACTGGGGTCTGGCCACCCTGGCCCCCCAGAATGTGGACACCAGTCAGTCCCCTGAAGGGAGGAAGCTTTGGAAGGACCACCACCAACCCCTTGTCCGGCAGGCTCACTTGGGTTCCTTCCCCTCCCGGGTCTGTCTTGCTCCTAGGCCTCAAGGTGGACAGGCTCTGTCGCACCCTGCCTACCAAGTCTGCAGGCAGTGCCACACGTGTTCACTCTGGGTCGCCCTCCCTCGTTGTCAGATCTGCGTCCCCAGTTCAGGCTGTTTGCCCACCTCATATTCCTCCACTTCCAGCCTTTCTAGAAAAGCGTCTGCTGCAGGGGTCCTTGGTGTTCTCACCAGGAAGTCACACACATATTGTGCGTGCATACACACACTGCACACACTGCATAGGCGCACATGGACGCATGTACTGCGCTCACATGCACACACCACACAGCACACATGTGTGCGCGCACACACAGCACATGCACACATGTGCACTATGTGCACACACTGCACCGTGTCAGCACACATTGAGCACACGTGCACCTGAACACATGTATGTGTGTGCCGCACACGTGCACATACAGCGCACACGCTGCAGTCGTGTGCACACACATTGAGCACACGCACACTTGAACTCATGTATGTGTGTGCCACACACACAGCACACACACACTGCACCCATGTGCACACACATTGCACACACGCGCACCTGAACACATGTACTTGTGTGCCGTGCACACACACACATCACGCACACAACTGCACACTGAGACCCTAAAGCTGGAAATAACTCGACGCCCATGTTAGGATTTTCCTGCCGCCTGCACCCTGCCTTCGGTGCCAAGGGCAGCTGGGTGCCAAGAAGCTGGTTGGCCTGTCCACTCATGGCCAGTTCCTGACTCTTTAATGCGCACTAGGCCAGCTGACGCTGAAGAGTCTCGCGGTTCTTCCGATTTGGGGCAGGGATTCAAAGGAGTCCATTTGGAATGGAGCAGGCATCCTGCCTGTCGGGTGTCTGCTGTGGCCCTCCAGTGCTGTCAGGGCCTGCTGGTACCCCAGGCTCCCAGAAACCGGCAGTTCTGTGTTTTAAAAAGGAACGCGGTTCCGGGCAATGCCGCTGCTCAGCCCACCGTCCTTTTTCACTTTTTGCTAGTATTAAGCCCAATCTTGCTCCTTTGGCAGCTGTTCAAATGAAAACTTCACCAGGGTAAGCCCCAGTGTAATCTCAGTAGGAGGGGGGCAATGTGCAACGTGTCCCCACATCATCAGGCTCAGTGGAACAGTGTGCAGTGGGACAGGCATCTGTGGCCTTTCCAGGACAGGCAGTAAGAGGGTCCTGCCAGGCAGCCTCAGACATCGGGTGTCCAGATGGCAGCCCAGGGCGTGAGCGGAGCTGGACCCAGGCACTGGGTGGAGAAGGGGCTCCTCTGACCACAAGAAGTAGCCAACCCCTCGCTCTGCAGGACACCCACAGCCCTAGAGCTGGCCTTGACTGTGCGTCAGAGTCAGGCAGATAGCTGACTTGCTGGCCCCACAGATAGCTGACTTGCTGGCCCCACCGACGTGGAGGTGACGGGACCCAGGCTGTAGCGGGAACCCCGGGCCAGTGTCCGCACCCTCAGCAGTAAGAGTCTGGGTGACTTTGCGGTTACATATTTTTGCTTTGCATTTTCTAACTTTGCGGCATACTCACTTAGGTCACCTTTAAACAAGGAAAATCCATATACTTTTAAAAAGAAAGGAAATTATCCTAGACCCCTTCAAAATTATTTGAAAGAGATAAGGAGAGACTTGTGTATCAGCCCAGGTTTCAGAAACTCGGCGTTTCTCCTGCAGACACGACTGCGCTGTACATGTGCCCCTCGAGGAGGGCCCCAAGTTCCTCCAGCCACATGGGTGGGGAGACCAGTGCCCTCCCTCCTTACCTCTGACACAGCAGACCAGCTGGGCAGCAGGAGCACCTCGCCCATGGCTCTCAGGAAGGTCTAGAGGGAGACAAGTGGCACCACTCAGCGCACGTTCTGCAAAACCCTCGCTGTCAGCCGCGGGGCACTGCAGGCAGTGGCTGAAACAGCTCACGTTAACATGCCAGGCTACACTTCGCCAAGCCCTTTCCCAAGGCCCACTTGCTCCATGTGACAACCCTTTAAAGTCAGCGACAAGCACTTAGATGTCAGCAGGAACACTGCTCCATTAGGGCAGAAGCCTGAAGACAGGGCCTAGAAGAAGTAGTCGGCCTCTGTAAATGCCTGTGAAGTGGATGAACAGATGAGCAAATTCTGGCTACTGAACAATGCCAAGCAGACCTTAAACCATTTGTGCTAATTAGAAATTACCTCTTTATAAAGCAAAGGTTATTACGGGTCCAGCTGCCCCCTGAGAACAGTCCTCAACACTCCCTATTGCCTTACATTTACCTATTGTATTTATCTATAATTTTATCACTTTTAACTGTCTCCTGCCACAGACACCAGATTTAAACTTAAAGTTTCATCTAAAACTCCTCTTACCACCCAACGCCATTGCTAGAAAAACTACATTCTTCCTCACACTTCCAGGAGCTAAATATTTAGAGAACATACCCTCAAAGCTCCTCACTTTCTTATCTATCTTTGACAAATACAGATAAAGACCCTAAAGCACAAAGCCTTAAAAATTAAGGATGAGGGCCCTCCCTGGTGGCGCAGCAGGTTAAAGCACAGCACTAAGAAGCTAAAGTCACTGCAGCATGAGTTCAATTCCCAGCCTCGGAGGAGATCCACATGGCGCGGCAGACCTCTCCTGACCTAGCCACTGCTCCCCTCAGCAGTGTACTTGTCAGTTAGCCTGTTGTGTTCCCCACTCTGTCTCTGGTGAAGCCTCTCACCGCCCCTGCACCTCTGGCCTGTACCCCAGTTATGTATGAATAAATAAATAAATCTTAAAAAAAAATTAAGGATGAACAAAACAGCCCGAGGCCTGGGACTTGCGGGCAAGGGTGTGGCAGGTGGGCTTAGGGCCCAGAACAGAGGTCAGCCCTCTTCAAAAGGCTCACCCAGTGAGGCGCTTAAGCCTCCCACACCACACAGCTCTGTCCCAAACACTCAACCCCTGCTGAAGGCAGTACCCGGATGGGCGGTGCCGCTGAAGTTGGATCAACGGGCCAGGGGGGTGGGGGGGAAGGCGGGGTGTGTGAGCTGGGAGTGAGTCCACTGAACAGAAATAGGAGTCACATTTGTTCATTTATGTTTCTGAGTAGCTGTAATTTTTTTATATACAAAAGCAAGTCGGTGAAATTAATTTTGCAAACATTGTACTTAGGTTGATAGATCTAAAACATAATCACTTCCACAAATAATCAGAACAAAGATGTTCAGTTTGATAATTTATATTCTGTTTTCGTACTGAGTCTTGGAAATCGCTCACACCACAGCCCACAGCCCATGCGGGCAAGTGCCAGGTGCTGTGAAGAGCCCTGGTCAGCACCAGAAGGCCCTGCAGTCCTCCCATGCAACTGCCTGAGCTGAGGGGCCTGGGCATCACCAAGGACTTCTGTTCCTCATCAGAGCTCCGTGGGGTTCTGGGCAAATCTGCAGGTCAGGTGCCCTGACACCGCCCCAGCAGAGGCCTCAAGCAGAGCCACAGGCTGGATCTGCTCCACAGTAGCTATTATTGGGTCAACTCTTCATTGTTTTTAAAATCAAAGTTAGTTGCCCGCTTTCAAATTTATTTAAACACTTTGAATTTCCACTTAATGAAATCAATAAGTCTCCATCTTCCCACTTTTTAAATTCTGAAGTAACCCTCAAGGCTAAGATCCGGTGGCTATGAGCAGCTGGCTGCTGGTCCATGCAGAGCTGGCTGTAGTTTCCACTGCCCCCTATTGTGGCCCTGCTCGCCATCACCTTCTCTGGCCCCCAGTGCACTGGAATCCCGAGGGGAGACGGAAACTGTGAGGAAACAGAAGTCCCCTTGCTTAAAAAGAAAGTATCTCTCACCTGTCCCTGCACTGATCCAGGGCCCACTGAGGCAGCCCCTCGGCTAAGAGCACCCAGGGCTCCACCCCCACATACTCTTGTCCTCACACACCCCACACCTGTCCTATTGACCGGTGCCCCCACTAGGGCTGTTCTTCAGGTTGTCCAGGGAGAGCCTGGAACCCGGACTTTCATGTACAAGTCCTTGGTTCTTCTGACTTCAAAGGCCCAGGGCCAGCTGGTCGCCGAGACCCCCGCCCCACCCGTCACGGCACAGCGTCAAGGGTGTCACCTCAGTGAGGTTTGCTGCTGTCTCCTCCGACAGTGACTTGTTGGGGAGGCTGAGAGACACGTTTTGCAGGTAACTGAGTACAACTCCGGGACTCTGGAAGCATTTCCTCTCCTCTGTTAGGTTGGTTATGACAGGGTGGTAGGCGTTGGTGGACGTCTAGGAGAAATGAGCCACATGAGCGCTGCCGAGAAGGAAGCCAGGTGGCCAGAGGGGCAGCTTGTCCTCTGGGCTCGGCCACAACCCCCAGCCAGCAGCCAGCTCTGCCTGCACGCCGGCCGCCACTCGCCATGTGACTTTACCCACACAGTCACCTCGGGACATAGGACTCTGTGCAAGGAACCAGCGCCAGGCTGAGATACAGGGGAGCAGCTGGCCTGGGGCGTGACTCCCACCTTGCTCAGGGGTGCACATTCATCCTCGGAAGAGCCTTCAGCCCGAGCATCGGGGGCCGGGCACAGTGGCTGAGCGGCCCTGCCAGCATTCAACATGCAGACTCAGTGGCAGTCAGCGCTCCTCTACCTCTGTCTCCCAGATGCCCCAAGGAGGCCCAGTGGCTGTGGCATTTCTGTGGGCCTGGCAGGCCAGCCAACAAGGAGGTGGCTGTGGGGAGACAGGCAGAGGTGTCCACTCACCGGTGTGTCTGCTGTGGGGGCCACGAGGGAGCGTGATGGTGTCGAAGACAAGACGTGCTTCCCTGGAACGAGCAGAGAACGCTTAGATAGGGGCAAAAATACGCTCACCCCTCACCTGAGGAAGAGCTGTCTAACCCCAGCTTTGACCAGCTCAGATGCATCAAAATAAATGGAGAACGTTCAAGTGGGGATGTGGCCGGAGAGATAAGGGTCACTAAGTCAGCTAGAGGGAAGATGGAGTGGGTTCCCCAGGCCAGTTATATTTCCATTTAGATTCTAAATTGCTTTTGAACACTCTTCATGGTAATCATCATCAAAAGATGATTTTATACCAAATTTTGCCAATTTGAAAATCCTCAGCGGGGCTGAGGATTGTGTAGAGAGGCAGACCGGTCATAGTAGACCAGCATGTGCGGGCCTGGGAGCTCTCCCTCCCAGTGGGCCCCAGAGAAGTGATGGGAAGCCATCCTGAGCCCTTGAACCCTGAAACGTCAAGTTATTTCTATTCAGATGCCATTGATTAATAACCAGCAGCGAAGACACGCCTGGCCCAGGGCTGAGCCGTGAAGCGTGCTCCCTCCGCTGGCTGCCGACCACGTCCCATCGCAGTGTTTCCTGGTGACGCAGACCTATCAGGACATTCGTTTCTTCTGTAGGCCCCTGCGTGCAGCTTTGGGTAAGCTGAGAAATGGCCTCTTCTCACCCTTCGTCAGTGCAGGTGTCACTGTCCTTGGGTTGGGGTGGGGCTGGATGTCTGGTGTGAGGAAGGGGTGACACCCCTGGAGCCCCAACACTCTGTTCTCCAAGCCAGAGTGACAGTCATTCCCGAGTGTCACAGTGACGGAGACACCACTTAGCTCGAATGTGTCCAAAACAAAGGACAATAAGCCAGCCCAGCCACCTGCGCAGCCCCGGCGATGGCCACGGAGCCTGGGGTACAGACGCGGTCTGGTGTCCTCATGGGCCTGCTCCAGGGACTCCTGCTTCATGGCAACTGGCTGTGCCGCCTCTCTAGTCTTCGCAGCGGTGCTGTTGTCACATGTCTGGCACAGCTGCTTCACCCTCGTGCTTTCTGCAGGCGGGTGGCTGGGTAGAGGAGGCCAGTGCTGCCTTTGGGTGGACTAGAAAGGTTGCGCTTCTGCCTGGTTAACAGGCTTGGAAGAGGCGCCTCTGCCAGCTGGTTCAGAGCAGAGCCCTTGGTGCCCAGCCCTGCACACAGTCTGGTGCAAACTTCTTCAACGGAGACAGACTGGCCTAGGCCCCAGGATGTGCCCGAGGGCCCCAGAGGCCCAAGGGCAGAAAATTTCAGTCAGTTGTCTGAACACCACAGCTGGCCCTGCTGCCTGGGCCACGTGCTGGTGTGAGGCGCCCCCCCAGGCCTGCCAGGACCTTGGGCCACAGCCCCTGTGCTCCCTCCATGTGCGGCATCCTGGCCCGAAATGTGGGTCATGTGGGCACAGCCCCGGCGGCTCAGCAGGGTGCAGAACCCATTCTCCCAGGATGCCTGGTTCTTGTAAACCTGAGAGCTGGCCCCCAGCCTCCTGGGGAAGCTGTCGGGCAGTTCGGACGCCGAGCCCAGGCCATGCACTGACTACCAGCGACAACCAGCGAGCGGTAGGTGGCAGCTTAGCCCGGGGTTCCCAGGCACAGGTGCCATCTGGTCTCCGAGGGACAAACCTCTGGGCTGGGGCTACAAATGCAATAGGTTGATGTCCTTCAAAGGACATGACACTTGTCTTTCTGTCACTCCATGGGCGGGAATAAGCTCCCGTTTCTTGATGAGAGATGGACAGATGACCCTGGGAGGACACAGGGGCTGCACAGTGCGCCTGCTGAGGTCAGACCAGGTGTCCTTCGGGGCCTCCTTCTCTGGTGCTGGACAAGGCTGGGGTGGCCTGGGACCCAGCTCTGCCACCAGCACTTTCTACACCCACCCTACTCAGCGGCTCTTGGAGATGCGGAAATTGTGACCATAGGGCCTCGGCACCAGAACCTGAGCTAGGGCAGGGCCAGCGGCCTTCTCCAGCTCTGGGTCCCCACCACTTCTGTCTGGGGGCCCTGTGGGGCAGCTCGTGCTCATGTAGACCTGTCTTCTTGGCAGAATTTTTTATGTTAAAACAAAGAAATGGTGCCCACAAATGAGCAGAATGAGAACAGAACTGCAGGTGGAGAGTGAGGACCAGTTCTAAAGGCACCTTCGGCCCTGGGGCTGCAGCCTCACCCCTCACACAGGCTGGGCAGCTGCCTTCACGTGTCAGCAGAGAGTGGTGACGGGAAGAGATTGATCTCAAGGGTCCGTGTCAGGGGATCCCACTTACGTGGGGCAGCCAGCGGAGGCAAACCCACAGACAGGACGTGCTTGCAGGCAATGCCTGGGCACAGGTGAGGCTGTGGGCATGTGGGTGCGATAAGAGTCACTGGGTTGTGTGCACCAAGGTGGCCAAGGTAAGAATCTGTTGTCATGAAAGGGAGACCCCCCCCGAGCCCCAGACCCACAGAGGCCGAGTGGAACTGGGGACCATCACCTGTGTCACAGGCCCCACCCTGCGAAGAGAGGGTGGCTTCCAGGGGTGCATCTGGCTCATGAGCACCTGAGGCCAAGTGTCCCTCCCAGAGTTGCCCCTTCCTGGGGCTGCCCCACACTCCCACAGCCACAAGCACACCGCAAACCCACCACACCAACAGGGATTGCCCATCTCTGTCAGCCGTTCTGAGGGGTGTCCCAGGAACATGGCTGGGTTCCCCGGGACCTGCCAGGGCCCATGGTGCTGATGGCCCCTCAGAGGGTAGGGACAGGTGGGACATGGGGCCACGGCGCCTCCACTGACCAACGGCAGCGGTGAAGTACATGGAGACCTCATCTGGTGTCAGGGCGCGTTCCCAGATGATGAACTCGTCAAAAGCTCTGTTCTCGTAGCTCTTGGCCTGGTCCTGCTCAGACCCAATCACAAGGCTGACGTTGGGCTCGCCATAGACGCGTGACACGCTGCCACTCGGGTCTGAGGTGCTCAGGGTCCCATTCACGTAGACTTTCAGGCCCTCCTTGGGCTTCCACGTGAACAGGACGTGTGTCCAGTAGGGGCCTGGGAAGAGCAAAGGGTGGCATGTGGGGAGGGGCTCCAGCTGGTGCCCTGCCAGTTGGCCCTGCCCTCACCCTCCAGGCAGTGGGTCATGCCAACATGGCCAAGTCCTAATACGCCAGAACACAGAACCGGCTTTCCTCAGGCCACTGGAGCAGAGGGAATAAATGATTCCTACCCCAAAATTCTAAAAGCAGTTCAAAGAGACACTTTGCTGTTTTAAATTAGGAGTCCCAAATTAAAATGCCTAGAAGCAAAAGCGATAATTAGAATATGTGGCAACAAGCAGGATATAAGCAGCAACCGCAAGCCCAGTTGTAAAAACCAGCACAGTTAGAAACAAGACAAAAATGTCCCTCTCACCGTTCCCTTTCAGCATGGTGTTAGAAATCCCAGATTGCTGTAGGACCAAGAGAGAGACACTACACAGATTTACAAGAAAGAAATAAGCCTCTGTTCTCAGATGACACAATTGTTTATGTAGAAAACTTGCGAGCATCTATTTTTAAAGATCTCTGGAGCTAACAGGCAGACACAGCAACGTGGTGAAAGACAAGAGTAGTTCAGGAGTGTCAGCCACGTTCTTATCTGACTGCACCAAGCAAGTGTCATTAGTACTTAAAAATGCACAAAATTTACCCTAATGTCCCCCCAAATTAAAACTCAGGTATAACTCCAATAACTATCTAAGATCCCTGTGAAAAAAAATTACAAAGCTTTGACAAAAATTAGTCAAGAGCAACATAAAGGGACAGCTGTCCGTGCTCATGGGTCAGAAGCTCCAAATTGTCGCCACGTCAGTTCTCCTGACTTGATGGGTAGAGTCGTTGATGGGTAGAGTCGATGTGATCCCCATCAAAGCCCCAGCTGGGGACGTCCTGGATATGGACAAGATGTTCCTAAAGTTTGTATTGCAAGGGAGAGGCCCCAGAGTAGCCCAATAGCATTGTAGAGAAGACAAAATCAGGGAACCGACTCTGGCCGGTTTCAGGACTTGCTACAAAGCTACGGCGATCAAGAGAGTGTGGGGCTGATGAAAGAATGAACACATGAATGGAAAGGGGTAGCGAGGCCAGAAATAGGTCAACAAGCATAGTCAACGCACCTCTGTCAAAGGAGGGAAGGCAACAGGATGGGGAAATGCTGTGTTTTCAACAAAGGGCCCTGAAACAGCTGGATACCCGCTTGCAGCCTCCCCCAGCCCTCCACCTCGAGCTAGACTCAGCTCTCATATCTACTTGACAATTCAGCTCCACACAGAGATCCCATGTAGAGATCATGGCGACCTCAGTCTAGAGAAGAGACTAACAGCTCCCCTACTATCACGGCTGGGCGAATCGGGGAGTGCACCAGGCAGAGGACACAGAGAAGGAAGGGGCTGAGCGCCACAGCCTGAATCAGGTGGCTGGGCGGCTGGAGTCTGGACTGGCAGCGCACAGGCATGGTGGGACACGCGGGAACCCATCGTCTCCAGCCCCACACTGCAGTGCCCCGCATCTGTGAAGCAGACTCCTGGGTGGGGAGCTTCGAGAGGGAGGACGAGTGGGAAGGCCAGGCTGCTGGTCTCTGCTCTCTGTCGTTCTGGTGCTTGCCTCTGGCTTTGTAGATAGTGGCGGCCACAGGCTTGGCCTGCAGGTCAGTTTTGCTTGGGGGGCACATTTTGACCCTCCAGCTCCCTGGGGCCTGCCTAACTTCTTTGCATGTGGTTGCTGATGGGAGGGGCCTTGGCCTAGGCCTTCGGGCAGCTGTGCCTTTGGACAATGGCCACTTGGCTCTGGGCCCTGCCTGTTTGGCTGAACTTTGGTCCATGAGGAATGGATGATTTTGGAGTTTGATTGGGAATTTGACGTTTGAAATCCATCTCTCCCCTAAGCCTTTTCTCTCTCTTGACCTTTCACCAATTAAAGATCTTGGAGCACACTAGAGTGTGACTCTTTGGCCTCTATGGCTGTTGGCTGCAAGAACTAGAATGAATTTTCCCCCAACAGTTTGGGCGCTCCTCTGTTTCACCCAGAAGCAGTGTTCATTCCCTGTGATTTTACCTGGTACCACTAACAATGAAATTTCTGAACAAGAAATAAAGAAAATGGCCCCATTTATAATAGCATCAAAAATGATCATATGGGCCCTCCCTGGTGGCGCAATAGGTTTAAGCGCAGCACTGTGAAGTTAGCCGCGAGCCCACAGGCCCAACATTCACTTTCTGGGTCCACCACTGCTCGGTGCCCACCCAGCTCTTCATGTGTCTGGACCCTAGGGAGCCCTGCCAATATCCCCACGTGGTGAGTGAGGAAACCGAGGCACAGAAGGGTAAGTCAGGGACCCAAGGTCACGCACTCACACCTGGCCTTGGGTTCCAGTATCTCGTTGACGGAGGCAGGCTGCCTCCATTGAAGGGGTTAGGCCACAGACCTGCCCCAACTGGAGGAGGCCGCTCCAGGCCTCCCTCTGTCACCTCACTGTCGTCTCCCTCAGCCTCTAGGCCTATAGAGACCTCAGTGCTACCCTGGAACACTTCTCTGGCAGCCCCCTTCCCCAGGTTCCATTCCCACATTCGCCCTCTCCACTACCTACCTATTACTTCTGACCCCACACCCAGAGGGGATCGGGAAAGAGGGGTCCTTGTTCAGTTCCTGCCAACTCAGCCCTCCTCTCCTCCTCTGGGCCCAGCACCCCATCCCTGTGCTATACCTGGCCTCCTCCTCCTCCCCACCTCTCTTGACCAGAAGTTTTCTCATGTCATGTTTTAAACACCTGCAAGTTGCGCACACTGAGGCGAGAGAGGCAGAGGGCAATCAAGGTGACAGAGGAGGAAAGGACAGGAGATGGGGGGAGAGGAGACCAGAGAGGGAGACAGGAAGGGCGCGGCCCCACAAGAACCCATCCTGCTATATGGCCCATTAACTGTGCCCGGCGTGGCCACACAGAGGCCCTTCCTGCCCCTGGCTGTGCCTTCAGGTACCAGCACAGGCAGACTGGCTCAGGGCACAGGGCCGGACCCCAGAAGTCGCAGCCCCTACTGGTGGCCCCTGAAGTGCGGGTGTGGGCCAGGGCCCAGGGCCCAGGGCATGCCCTCTGGGGGGACCCTAGGACAGGAAGCTTCACAGAGGCCCCTACCTGGTGGGCTGAAGGTGGCTCCCCACGTCCTGGAGTTCTCGCGCGTGTACACCTCCACTGAGCCCCGACCGCCGCTGGAGCAGACTTTGAAGCCGTCGGAAATGACCTGCCCCCCGTAGGCCAAAGGGGCGGGTCTCGACTGTCCTCCCTGTGTCTTCCAGAAGAAGGAGAAGGTGACTCCTGGAGAGGAAGACATGGTCACTGCGGATGCACACAGAGGGATGGCCGCACGTTCTGCTCTCGGCTGTGCAGAGAGAGAGCACGTCCGCGTGCCAGAGACAGAGCCAGCACTCTGGGTGCCACCGAGCTCCAGGCTCCTTCCTGAGCAGCTCAAAAGGGTCCTTTTCCTGTCACCAAGCTCTGTCATCACCCTCATGCAGATGCAGAAACGGAGGGCAATTTCCAGGCTGGTCATTAGACTTGTGATGAGCATCACAAACCTCCGTGGAGTAAACAGCGGCCCCCCATCCTCCCCTCTACACCCACCCCGCCCCCCGCCTTCCATCTTGTCTCCTCCCCACTGCACAGTAGTGTCAGGGGCATCCTTGCCCACAACCCTCTATAAACTTGTGCACGCCAGCTTAGAAACTGCAGTTCTAGAAAGTCACCGCATCTGGCGCTTCCCCAACAGCACCAGCACTTTTGGTGCCATGCTGGAGCCTGCACAGCATCACGCTGCAGCGGGTGCCCGTCTGGCTGACAGAGTTGGGTCTCAATGTCCCTCAATTTTTATTTCCAAGCAGAGCTTGGGGGCTGAATCTTTCTGGGCCTCTTACTCATGTGCCTTCAGGATGAACTTCCAGTGGAAGTTTTTAGCCAAAGGAGACGCCGCTTCTAAGGGCTCTGAGGGTGTGGCCATGAGCAGCGGCAGGGCCAGGGAGGTGCTGACACAGAGGAGTTTCCTGGAGCCCGGTCTGATGACACAAGGCAGCTCTGACCTCAGGATGCAGAGTGCCCCGTGGACGTGGTGTACACACTGGCTCAGTGCGGCCCTGGCCACACATCTCCTGTCCGGGAGTCCTAGCTCCGGTGGTGGAGACCTAAGGGGTCTCCCAGGTGGTGGCCATGCTGGCCTCTCCACGGGGCCTCCAGGGCCCCAACTGGGTGTGTGGGAGTCTGTATGTGTGTGTGTGTGTGTGTGTGTTGAACTAGTGACCTGCCACAGTGCCCAGTGGTGGACAGGCCTCCGCATGGGGGGGACAGACATGGCTCTTCCTGCCTACAAAGACTTCAGAAATGGACAGGCCAAGGAGCTGTGCCTGGTGCACTTGGGACCGTCAATACAAGGGAGACAAGTCTGGAGGAAAAGGACGCAAGTGCAATATTGGCAGATAGATGTGATGCTTTTTCTTCTTCTGAGCATGAAATCCTAATGCTTCTGAAAAGTGGGAGAAAGTCTTTTTCAACAAGATAAATAAAAAATGGTAAGAGGCCCAAGGCCACAGAGAAGGTGGTAAGCTCAAGTGCAGACATATCAAACTTCTGCACGGCTGTACTTCCACAACCAAGTCAGAGGTAAGTGGCGTCCAGGAGCAGCATCTGTGATGCCTGGACAGACGTGAGGCCCCTCATGTGCGCGGCACCAGGACCACATCACGGGCTCACTGCTGCCGCAGCCCGCCTGGGGCTGGCCCTGCCGGCCTGTCACCCCCGAGCCTGGCAGGTGGCTGTACATATGGCACAGGGGACACTGAAGCACGGGGTGGAGGGGGCGCCCGTCCTGCACACAGCCGTGAGGGGTGTGGTCTTTGGCCTCCTCCACTGATTCACATGAGGTCCGGGAGCCCAGGACAGAAGGCGCATCTGATGAGGCCACATGGGTAAGAGCCACCCTGGGTCATGTCTGCAGTGCGCAGGTGAGGTGCTGGGGTGAGCAGGGCTCTCAGCTAGAGGGGTGTTCCAGACCCACAGACATAGCCCCCTGCCCTGCACACATGTGTGGAAGCGGCCAGGGTGGCTGTCAGCAGAGGAGGGAAGGTGCCTGAGGCACCCCAGAGGCCAATGGCTCTTCCAGCCGCGGTGCACAGGCAGGGAGACACGCCACCTCCGCTGTGTGCTCAGAACCCCGTAATGGGGGTTCAGCTACGGGACAGAAACCAGGACTCGCTGCCTCAGGGAGATTCCAGGGAGAACCCGGGCAGCAAGGCACTGTGGGTGCAGCACCAGCCATATGGACAATGTCTCCCAGGACAGCCGCAGTGTCCTGCCCGGCCGCTGGCCGCCATGATCCCAGCAAGCCCACAGCCGTTGCTCCACTGAGTGGACGGCGAGGAAACAGCAGGGCCAGCTCCAGCCCTCACTGGAGGGCTGGCTGCTCCACCTCTGGGGTCCAAGCCCAGCTGCTGGAGAAGGAGCCACACAGAGGCCGCAGTGCATCCAGGGTACCATTCAGAGGCCTTGGCTCAGGTCGGTTGTCCACCTGCCAGGGCGACCCTCCCATGGCCCTCCAGCAGGATGCTGGTCAGTGCTTTATGCTACTTGCATTGTGGCCATAGATGATCTTACCTGCAGCCACTCAGTTCGGAGCACCCCAAGGCCTAGCCTCACTGCCCACTACTGCCCAGGCCCAATCTACTGCCCACACACTGAAGCCCACATGGCCCCTGTGGCAGCAGCTCTGGCCCACGGAGTCTCGTCATTACACAGCCAACTATATCTGCCTTGAGTCTCTGGGGGTATGGTGCAGGTTGAGGGAAGCCCCCACGCCTGCCCCTGGCCGGAGGCACGCTGGCAGCCGCTCACCTTGGGGCCCGCAGCGGGCAGGGTTGCTGATGCAGGATGTCTTGTAATGGCCATAGTAGAGCAGCGTCACCCTCTTTTCCTCCTTGAGGTAGATGCCCTTGTTGACCTTCCCTTCCACGATGTCTGGGTAAGGAGAGTCGACAGCGCGTTAGCTAGCTCAGACACGCCAGTGGGGAGGCGGGAGTCATGCACCCCTGGGTGTGCCAGGTGCGTGCAGGGGCCACCATGAGGCTTGAGGTTGCTTGCCATTATGCGTCACGTCTGGCGGTTTTTTGTGCCAAACCATCAGTGATACGTCTCAGCCTGAGTGCCAGGTGGCAGGTGAAGCCTCCGTGACCTGGCCCCCTGCTGGGGATTCTGGGTCTGCAGCAGTGGCCTCCCCAGGGGTCAACCACCCCCCGCCCCACCCTAAACTTTGCGCCTCCTGCTTTGGAGACCGCCACCTCCCACTCCAGAGATGTGAACATGTGTCTGAGCGGGGACTGGCCCCCGAACACCTGAGTCCCAGGAGTGGGGACCGTGACACTGAGGTCCCATTCCCGGGCTTCAGCAGGGAGTGTCCACACAGCCCAGCCTGCAGCCCTCCTGCCCGCAGCCAGGGCGTGATAGCTGAGAGCCAGCCAGCAGTCACACAGACAAGTGCGGACTATAAAACGAAGGCCACCGGACACGTGGGTCCTGTCCCCGGGGTCATTCGCCTGGTTGCATCCTGTGCCATGTGCTGCAGGCTGGTGCGCTGGCCCTGGGACCCAGCTCAGTCCCCCAGTCTAGCCACTGGGCAACCAAGGTGGGCCTGGACCCTTGCTGTCTTAGCCCATCACTTTTGCCCATTTGAACAGATAGGTCAGGCCCAAGCCAGACTGCCCAGGAGGGCGAAGGAACAGCTGAGGTGCTGAGCTGCCTCGCAGTGACCCACCAGGCCCGGCCCCCTCCCCTCCCCTCTGAGGGGGAGGCCCCATGGTCTCGACTCTCCCTGTGCTCTGAGCTAAGCAGAGTGTCACAGGGGCTCTGGCAAGGGCTAAGTGAGGCCACAGTTTAGCCATGACTTTGTGAGAGTGTCTGGCACAAACCAGCTTCTAAGGTTTAAATAAAATTCAGCTTCAGAAGAAATGCAGGTTTCGAGGTCTATAAGAAATCACGGTTTCAATGAGGTATGTTGAAATCAACCTTAATTTTCCGTTAAAAGGGCACACTTTCCTCCCCTAAAAAGTAGAATTCATTTTAAAATCCAAACAATTTCTATTTTGAGCACAGAGTGCTCTGATGTCTGTCTTGTTCTGAAAGCAAGCAGCTGGCCTGGTCACGTGTCCACCCTCGGCGGGGCGGGTTCCGAGTCCTCCTCTGGGCGAGCCCTCAATGGCCCCCTAGTGCTGGGTCCTGCTCCCTCCTGGACTGGCTCTCCGCAGCCCAGCAACCGTGACTCCCACGGAAGCCACCTGGACTGGCTTTGCTGCAGGCGGCCCACAGCGGCCAGAGGCGGAGCAGGAGGCAGTGCTCACCGACAGTTGCAGAGAGGTTTGAGTAGGCAGGGCCACTGGCCAGGGCAAAGGTGGAGTTATGGGGAGGGAGCACAGTGAGGTTGTGGGTTCGCGACACTGGGTGAAACGACAAGAGAAAGCATAACACGTGAGTGAGACAAAACACAGCCCACACATCTCTCCACTGAGCGTGCACCGAGGAACCCCAGCTGGACCCCGGCCCCATTCCCACCCTCGGATTTGTTCAGCCCATCACCGCTCACCCAGGCCCCGTTCCCAGAACGGGGGTGGGGTGGGAGGGTGACTGGGGCTAGCCTGACAGCAACAGGGACCCTGCCCGCTCCCCCCACCCCGCTCCCCCCTCCCCCGCAAACACTCCTGCCCCAGCCTGTGCCCACACACTGAGCTGAGAGATGTGCACTGGCCCCTGGAGCCCTGGGAGGCTCGGTGTGGCACGAAGACAGTTGCAGCAGGCGTGAGAACAACTGTGTGACGTTAAGACAAATGGACGGACGACAGAGGCTTTGGCAACAAATAACAAAGCTGACACCCAGGAAATGACTTCTGGGCCGTTGCACAGCCCCTGCAGGCCACACACTGATGGATTCCAGTCACTGTTTCCCTTCAGGAGCCTGTGATCAGACTGAGAGCGCCTGCAGAGCGCGGCTGCCGGACGCCCCACAGAGAATAGGCAGGGACTCGCCTTCGTCACCTGGTGACGCGGGACAAGCCACACTGCTACAGCTTGACGGGAACCTGATGTGTTTGCTGGACCAAACTGAAACACGACATTGTACCCCAGTAATGATGAGAAGAATGTTTCTCAGGTAAAGCTTTCCGAAACATCAAAAATTACTGATTGAACCTTCAGGAGTGAATTGAGTCCAAGGCGTGAGGGGAGAAATATACTGAAGTTAATGGAGCTCTTGCTGCCAAGCAACCTACAGTTCTAGTTGCTGGGCCCTAGACAGCAAGCTCCTAAAACAACACGTTTCCACTCGTTGGGGGATCAGCCGAAGGCGCTAAAATAAGGTCCTGGGGGTGGCTGGGGATGGGGATCAGCCGAAGGCGCTAAAATAAAGGCCCCTGGGGGCGGCTGGGGCCAGAAGTAAGCATGCTGGGCCATGGGCATGGCCGTGGGCTGGGAGTGGGCCGGTGGGCTGGGGATGGCGCCAGGCACCCCCCACCTAGAAATGGTGCACCTGGAGACACAAGTGGAGCCATCCACGCCTACAATCTCTGCCTCTGCACGAAAGTTGGCAGGCCGAGGCACCCCTGTAGAACGCCCGAGTCACAAGCGCCATCCTTCCGTGGGTGGGACGTCCTGGGGCTGGAGGCCCCAAGGGGCAGTTGCATGTGCTCAGGACCCCAGCTGCGGCCCCACCCAGTGCCCCAGCTCTCAGCCTCGGCTCCCCACCGCTGCTACCTCCAGTTGTGTCCTGAAGTTCATGGATTCCATCCACGTTTTCCAAAGGCCAGTAGTGGGAGGCGGAAGCCAAGACCTCAAACCCTTGGGGGGGAAAGAATAAAAATGTTGAATGTAACTGGGTGGTCCCCAGGAAAGGGGGAGTTTCCAGGTTTCCTGCCCCACCCAAGGAGGGTGGAGCTGGGCAAGGAGGAGGGAAGCTGGGAGAGAGGAGACCGGAAGGAAGGAAGCAGGAGGGGGCCTGGGGGCACGTGGAGCAGAGACATGTGGAGAGGCTGTGCGGGCTTCCTGGTCCTGGGCTGGGTGAGGCAGACTTGGGTGAGACGCGGGGGGAGGGGAGATGGCAGCGCTGGTCTTGGCTTTGAATCTGCTCCTTTCCTTCCAGACTTGTCTGGGCCCTTCTGCCCCTTTCCCCTGGGTCCCCAACCAGGAAGGGCTAAGCCTCAGTGGCCTCACCTTGGGCCAGCCCCGTTGGGCTGGGCATATACCCACGAGGGGCCCAGTGATGTTGGGTGCTTGACTTAGAAACTATTGTTCCCCTTCTCTTTGTTGCGGATTGTATTAAAGTCCCTTTTCGTTTTTTGCTTTGTTTCATTGTATGTTTTGTTTCGACATGACAGATGACAGAAGCTATTTAGAGCTGTAAACAAATATTTTTGGGGTGTTGGGGCGCCCCTCCCTCTGCCCTGTAAGTCTCTGGCTTCAGCCCCTGCTTACAAAATCACCGTGGGAAGGGGAGCCCCCCACCGAGCTGCCGGGGCCCAGCAGGAGCTGCGGGGGTCTCGGGGGACATCTGAACTGGCTCAGGGCACAGCCTGGCTGCAAAGAGCTCTCAGGAGAGCAAAGATAGCGAATACATTTCCTTTACAGGGTAGAACTTGGCAGACTGAAACAGACAACACCTCTTAACCAAAGAAAACAAGAGCTGCCAGCTAGTGGACACTGGGCTGTCAGCGCCAGAGCAGCACATCCCCGCCCGGTAGCAGCTGGGGGGCACGAGAAAGCCCAGGCAGTGGCTGGGGACGCGGCTCCAGGGGGGCGCGGGGCCCGGAGCCCCCCCCAGGTGTGCGTCCCCTGCCGCCTCTCACTCCCACCGGCTCGAGCGTGAGCTCAAGGGCACACGCGTCCTCGCGAACCACCCGCTAAAGCCAGCGCCGCGGCTGCGAAGACGACAACGTGCCCAGAAAGGCCCGCGGCTAGTCTCGGGTGTGGCACTCCCAGGACCCCGACTTTGGTCTCGACCCCTGGCCTCTGCATCCTCCACACCTCATCATTTCCGACTCTCTGACGTGGCCTGTGCTTTAGGCAGACACGACTGTGAGACTGTGTGCCCCGCCCTCCCCATGGGACTCTGAGGCCTGCGTCAGGGTCACTGCTGCCGCCCTGGGCAAGCCAGTCGGTGCGGCCGCGCCCCATGCCCCGCACCCCAGCGACACCAAAGGCTGCAGACCCAAAGGGGCTGCTTTGGAGGGTGCCACACTCTGCTGTCTTCCCAGGAGGCGGCACTGGCCCAGGGCCTGCAGAGGGAGGGGATCACCCCGACAGAACACCAGGCCTAGCGGGAACAGGTGGCCACACCCCACCCCCACACATAGGTCAGCTCTGCAAGGGTGACCCCTCTCGCAGCCAGTATGTTGTGGGTCAGGCTGGACGTTGAGAGACAGGAATGTCACAGAGAAGGGGCCAAGCCCTGTATCTCCTTTCAGGTGTCCTTCCTACCTGAAGGAGATAGGTACCAGGGCCTCCCCTGTCTCCTAGCACCACAAAGGCCCCGCTGTGACACAGCAGGCACCCACAGACTGCCAGCTGGGACTCAGGGGCCACCTGCCGCTTGGCCACAGGGTCTCACCCCACAGGCCCCCCCTGATGGCTTCCAGGGACCCCGCCTGGCTGCTGGCATCTGAGACGTCATTCACTGTCCCCCCTCAGTGAATCTCCCCTCGGACATGTGAGTCTGTGTCTGTTTCACACCCCGTGTCTGGTCCCCAAAGCGTGCGCGGGAGTGTGTGTCTGTCTGTCTGTGCACACACGCAGACATCTACGGTTGAAGCTCTCAAAGCGTTAATGCTAGAAATGACTTTCTAGAATTATGTTGGCAGAACTGTGATGACATGCAGAACAAGTGCATGAGATATGAACAGAAACTAGACGCCGGCAGCCTGGAAGACCCTACTAGTCCGGGGCGTCCCCATGGCCGATTCCACCAGCCCGTCTGTTGGGGACGGCACTAAGGCTGACCACCGCCTGGGCACCGTGTGCTGGAGTCAGGCGCTGAGCACAGGCAGACGCCCTGTGAGCCTGAGGCCAGTTACCTGGCCCCGACGTCCCTTCCCAACAGAAGTCACCGTGGGGTTTGTCACCTGCAACAGCTGACCCTTCCAGGCTGAAACTGTCTCCCACAAGGCATCATGCATCCTCTCGGGACAGGCCTGAAGCAGGCCACCTGGGTCACGAATGGTGTCTGGTGTGAGGTGCAGAATCTGCCAGCCCCTGCTCCCCTCACCTTCATCAGCTAGGAATGGGGGCGCCTCTGCCCTCTGGCTATGTCAGAGCCCTCAGGTAAAGGGCTACTCAGGGTAGCGAGAGCCCACATGCTGCTCAGTACGCAAAGCTGATACAGTTTCTTGCAGGACTGAACACTATTCACAGGGAAGCACTGTCAGTGTAGACAGAACAAGCAGCCTGGCCTGGGAGCTGGACCCCCTCCAGCCACTGTCTCAGGGGGTTCACTTCCCAGGTGGTGAGCTCCTAGCCCAACAGTGGTGCACCAGCACCTGGCATAGAAATGTGGGCCTGGAGTGGGCGAGGCCAGGCACAGAACTCCAGGGCTGATGGGCACGCGTGTGGAGTGGAAAGGGAAGCAGGTGAACCCAGAAATGTCAGGGGCGTGGAAGGAGGAAGGGAGGAAAGAAGGGGAAGAGGAAGTGAGGGGAGCAAGGAAAGTTGGTGGGTGAGCAGAGAGGCAAGACAGGCCCACATCTGGGGAGAGCATTACCCCTGGTAGCCTGTCAGGGCCTGAAACAGGAGGAGGAGGCGAAGGAGACAAGGGCTTTGTGAGCTGGGGGGAGGGGGATGAGCATGCCAGGGGGAACTGGGAACCAGATGAGACAGAGGGCCTGGTGGGTGGGCCTGGTGAGGAGGTGGCTGGCTGCCCCCACCCGCCCCATCGCCCATTCCCGGTCATCACTGGCCTTCTGTCTCAGGAGTTGGACATCAAGAAATGTCTGTTCTGCCCCCACTGAGGGGGTGGATGGAGCTAGGTTCCCACAGGAACTGAGATCTGACCTTCCGACCCCAGGCTCCAGAGGGCATGTGGGCTGGGCACAGGTGTGCGGACATACCCTGTGTGCGTGTGTGTGTGTGCAGGGGGTGGGGCCCACAACCAGGTCCTGTCCGGCATGAGCAGGGTGCAGGGCTAGGGTCCTCAGGACACGGACTGTGCTTGTCCATTACCCATCAGCGACACCCCATTAGCCCCTTTCCCTCACCGACAGCGCCCCTGGGCTGGAGGGGCCTCTTGAGAGGCGGCCTCGACCCCGTGACAGAGACCCTGGCTCTCTGCACTGGCGTGGGGCTGGGGCAAAGGCCCTTTCTGTGGAGGCTGGTGAAGGGTCTGCGGGGGGTGTCCTGGCACCTGCTGGTCACCCCCAGAAAGGACCCCTTGACAGCAAGGCCATCCATGCCAGTAGTGCCAGGCCAGGGGCCCAGGAGGCCTCCTCCTAGCCATGGCACAGAGTGGACCCCACCCGAGTGCAGGGACCACCCGCATCTGCACCAGCTGGGGAGGCAGAGCCGGCCACCCTGGGGGCGAGTATCCCCGCACCTACCCGTCCCTTGCCAGGGCGCCTGGCCCTGTGTCTCCCCCAGCTGCTGAGACCCTGGCACACCCAGGCACTCTCTAGCAATAGGAGGGTGGGCAACCTCGCGGACAGGGGCCTGGTAGGGCCGCTGCCCACCGTGCACACAAATGAATGGCCCGACTAGCCCTTGGGCAGCCAGAGGGCAGCACGGCGGGGACGTGTCCCTTACCTGGATGGGTGAGAGGCCTGGACGGGGGTCTGCGCACCTGCACAGGAAACAGCTGGTGTGAGCTGACCCAAGGGCTGCCACTGGAGACCCCTCCCCGCAGCCCCCTCCTCCAACTGGGCAGGCCTCACCTGGGCATTGGCCAGCAGCAGCAGCCAGGCGGCCAGCAGCCTCCTCATTGTGCCGAGCGGCCACACCCAAGGGCCAGTGTCCCACTAGCTCTTGCTCTCTGGGGAGAGGTGCATGGTCATGGCTCTGGAAATCCTCGCTTGAGTTTGTGGGGGCAGCTGTGCCAGATGGAGGTGCTCCTCCTGGCCCCAAACCGGAGGCCCTCAGTGTCCCACAGACAGGCTGGTGAGGGCTGGGCAGTTGTCTCAGACCTTGGGGCCGCTGGCCACGTCCCCTCTGCGCCTGGAGTCTCCGTCGGCTCCTCCAAGCTGGGCGGTCGCCGGGAGGCAGAGGCCGGGGAGGAACTCGGGGCTCCTCCTGTTCGCGCCTCCCTGTGGTCTGACTCAGGGTCACTCGGAGTTTACCCGCCTCCAGCTCGGGTGGGGAGACCCTGTCAGGCCGCTCTCGCCCCGCCTTGCTCCTGCCGGCCCTATGCCTTTCCCGTGCAGTGCCCACATGCCCAGGCGGCCCAGCCAGCTCAGCCGGGGCGGGGTCCTCACCGGCACTGCCCTCGCTGGTACCAGTAGGACAAACAGGAGGGTGCCACATGCTGCCCGGCCCCTGCTTTCATGGCCTCAGAAAAAAAAAGTGAAAGCTGAGGGGGGCTTCCAGTTGCCTTGGTTCCTCTTAACCCTTTCAGGCCCAGGGATAGGCTCGTCTGGCGAACCCCCACTTGAGCGGCCAGGCCACTTGGATAAACTGCCCCCCTCAGTTTATCCAAGAGCAAAGGATCATCCAGCTGACTCCAGACACACCCCACAGGCACGCCACACATACCACACACACACACGCCCACACACACACCACAACACCACACAAACAATACACATCATAACACATACCCCATATGCAAACATGCAAAACAAACTCCACACATCACACACATATCACACACACACCACCACACTCTACACAACACACACACTGCACATATGTAACACAACACAAATATCTCTACACACCACACCACACACATTATACACTCACCCCCAACCTCACTCACCATACACATACCCCACAACCACACTTACCATACCATACACTCCACATACCACACACATCCAGCACACATACACACCCCACACCACACACACACACATGCCCTAGAGCACACACATTCACACACCCCCACATACACACCACACACTGCACACATACCCCACACACATGCCACACACACATACCACACACACCATGCTACATAATGCCCCCACAGGCACACACACAACACACACCAATGCACATCACACACCACACATATGCACAGCAACGCACATCCATATGCGTGCACACCACACAGTGCACACATAGCCCACACACAGCACATGACACACACACACAGCCCACACATGGCAGCACAGCACACACAAACGCACATAGCACATACCAACCCACAAAACACAACCACACAGTCATAACACACACCATGCACATACCATACACACACACCCACACATGCATGACATGCACTGCACACATACCACACACACCACACACCCCATGCACACATAAGCACACCACACATATCACACACACACAAACATACCACACACCGTACATACCACATACGCACCAACACACATACCACACACCCCATGCACACATAAGCACACCACACATATCACACACACACAAACATACCACACACCGTACATACCACATACGCACCAACACACATACCACACACCCCATGCACACAACACACACACATATAAATACATGCCCTACACACACACCACACACATGTACCTAAATGTGTATGTACTTAACTACAGAGCTTCAAAATACATGAAGAAAAACCTGGCAGAACTGAGAGGAGAAAGAACAAATCCACGATTAGACTTGGATGGCTCAACACTGCTTTCTCAGTAACAGAACTAAGAAACAGGAATCAGCAAGGGACTGAGAAGAAATGAACAACACAATCAGCCATCTGGATCTCATCGACACACAGGACACCCCACCCAACAACAGCAGGACACACATTCTTCTCAAGTGCGACTAAAACAGTCACCACGGCAGACCAGCTCTGAGGCCATGGAATAAGTCTAAACCAATCTGAATAAGTAGAAGCATACCAAGTATGCACTCTGGACATGATGAAGTTGAATTCAGCCACAGAAAAACAATAGGCAAATTTCCAGCTACCTGTAAATTCAGCCACATACTCTGTCAACCCAAGGTTAAAACAGGAACGCGCAAGGGAAATTAGAAAATACCTTGAATTGTGTGGAATGAAAATACAATGTATGAAAAATTGCGGGGTAAGTTAAGGCTGCACCTAGAGGGGAATTTATAGCACTGAAGTCTCACTTACGTTTAGAGGAGAAACACTCCCAATCAGTCAACTGAATTCCCTGTTAATAACTAGAAAAGAGAGCAAAAGACACAAATCAAGAGCAAAAGAACTAGCTTTTGCTGCTGTATGTCACAAAAGGTTTCTGAACAAACTGCCGCATAAATTAGGGAATCTCAAAAATGTCTCTGCTTAGAGTGATCACAAATATACACTTTGCAATGATGTTCCCACCTAAGTGCCTAGCTTGACCATGTCTCCTTCCCCTTCGTATTTCAACCACACCAACCCCCCTTTGCTCCCTCCATTCCACTGATTCCTCTTGGGGCTTCCTTGCCTGCCCCATCTGACCTTTGGATCCCACCCAATCTCGGAGATTAATAGTTAACATATTAAATGCTTAAAACATGCCATGCACACACATACCACACACACCATGCTACACACCTGCCCCACACAGCACGCACACACACACCACACACCAACGCACACCACACACCATACATATGCACAGCACACACATGCCACATCCGCATCCACACATGTGCACACTTTAGATGTGTGCTGCTTTAGATGTTTCATGTACATTACGTTGCCCAATATTTCTGATGATATGAAGTCAGCACTATTCCTGTATTTTAGAAGAAACTGAAGTACAGACCAAGAAATAACTTGCCAAAGTTATGAATGCTTCTAGCTGCCTCTTCTCTGAACTCCGGAGTACCGCTCCGGTGTAGACCTATCATATGGTTCGCTCTAAATTGTGCCCTGGGTTCTGAGTTTGTGTGTCCATATCTTCGTTCTCTTTTTAGATCATTAGTTCCCAGAGCACAAACTCAGTTCATATCAACTTTCCCCTGAATCAAATTCAATCCTGATGCATATCTGTGGGATGGCTAGAGAGGGGGAAAATGAGCGAGCACTGGCCCTCCAGAGAAACAGATCCGAGGCAGAGAGAGAAACGCGGACGCACAGTCCCGCAACCTGGAGCCCAACAGCCAGGGAGCCAGTGGTGTAAATCTCTCTCCTGGGGCAGGGGCCATATCTCGGCACTGGCAGATAAGAGGGAAGTGGTCCTCACAGGCTAGTGCCCAGCACTAGGGGAGCCACCTCGCTGGGTCCATCCTCTCACCTAGACATCCTCACAGATGCGCCCAGAATGATGTTCTGGTGCCTGGAAGGTTTGAGCTGACACGGGGCGCCCCGTCACGGAGGTTGGGAAGAGCGTTGGCACGGGCAACATTGAGCCTTCTCCAATGCAGAAAGCGCCCTGACTTTCCTAAAATTCTAGACCTTGGTCAGCCTGTGCAGCACACAATGAGGCATCCATGAGGCCTCAATTCGGCAGTCCCTGCCCTGGGTCTGCTGTCCACCTGTTGAGGGCAGAGCGCAGACAGGGAGAGCAGGGTCTGCCCTGGGGGCGTCCTGAGTTCCCAGATCCAAGACACACCACACACAGGCAATGGACAGCAAGGAAATTGCAACTTGCACCATGTGCTTTAGGATGACTAAGCTGCGCAGCTGGTGGTCCGGGAGGCTGTCCTCACTGGACAAGCGGGACCCCCAGCGTCCCGAGCGACTGAGGGGCCCAGATGTGCACAGCTCCTGAGGGAGGGTTTGTCGGATGAGAACACCATATTCCCTAAGGCAAAAATGAACCTGGCGTTCACGAGAACTAGGAAAACTGGGGAGGCCCGAACATGGTGGGCAAAGGGAACACCCAAGGGGAGGTGGGGGTGTGGGGAGCAGACCCCTAAACTGTACCCAGCAGCGGTGGAGGAAGGGTCTCCACTGCGTCTTTAGGGGGTTGCACTGGTGGTGAGGACAGCAGTGACTGGAGTGCAGACCCCACAGGAGGAAGTCTCATTAGAAGGTTTGGGGTACACTCGACCAAAAGGGAAGGTGGCTTGGAGCCAGAGGCAGGAAAAGGATGGAGAGAAGCAGTTCAGTTAAACACACTTCTGGAAACCAAGCTGGGGGACCGACTGTGTCTGGACACAGCCAGGAAGGCGCTGGGAGCTGGCGCTGACTCTTAGAGCTCAGGCTGATGAGGAGCCGGATGGGGGAGCAGCTGGGCCAGGGGCCCAGGTTCCAGGGACAGGGGCAGAGGCACTGAGCCCACAGACTCCAGGCCCAAGGCAACCCTATCACATGACAGCGATGGCAGCAGCTCTGCAAGGGCCCCTCAGGGCCACCATGCCGGGGCCTTTGGAGGGGCCGGGCCAGGGACGCTCACTGCAGGTGCTAAAGACTCAGAAATATGGCTGCTGCTGGGAACAAGCTCAGCTCCAGAACCCAGGCAGCTGGGCAGTGATGGGGAGAGCACACAGGTCCAGGGGCCACTTCCTTACCCCGGCCAGAAGTATCACCTCAGACCCTGCTGGCATAACCAGGATGTGCGTTTGCCTCGGGACCTGTCCTTGAGCGCTCTGCTGTCTGCACTGTGCTTCTTCCCACACTAGGGGAGAGCCGCTCCTCCTCCCATCCCCATGAGGGGCAGATAACAGAGGCTTTCACGGCCCCAGCACCCCCTCGCCTCCATCCCCAGGCTCACCATATTTATTTGTTTTCAGTGTGGTGCTTTGCTCAGTGTCCGTGGAATTTGCCTCCCTCGCCAAGGGAGCTGGAACAGAGCAGGGGAGGAGGCAGCTGACACCACAGTCAATTCCTTAACAATGACTTAAGAGCAAAAGGAAGCGCCCTTCTGCTTCTTTCCCAAATTTTCTTCTTGTCACTCGTTTTTCCAGAACACACGGTGTCTTCCTTTTTCCTGTCTTCCGAGACACAAGGGCACGACCAGCCCCGCGGCAGCCCTTTACAGTCACTCAGCATTCAGTAGGCCCAAGAGCTGGCTACCAGACCGGGGGTGGAGGGCAGGAACTGATGAACTCTCCCTTCTGGAGCAGAAGTCTCTTCAGGCTTGGGTTGTTGTTTTTAATATCCCACTTTGCCCCAAAGAAGATAATCTGTGCTCACAGAGGGAGTGTCGCAAGGCTGCCCATCAGGTAAC